GAGCAACATGAGACAGACGTGAAAGGAAAGACACATACACACTTTTAAAACATTATCAAAAACACAGCGGACTGTCGCTTCCCCATTTCTCGTTTTGTGAAAAAGCAGCCTTAGGAAGTAATGCAATCGAATTGATTGGTTATATAAAGTGCATTCCGGAGAGCAATAAGCAGCCTTTTTGGGCTAACATGGACTTCGTGTAAGAAATACATGCGACTGCACATTTATAGCAGTCCACACAGTAAAACCCATGGCATGGATGTATATATTCAATGAACTTCATCTATTTATTTATTTATTTATTAGTTATTATTATTTATTATTTATTTATTTATTTATTATTATTTATTTATTTATTATTATTATTAGAATACCCTCAGGGCCCGTAGGGCATTACAGAGGGGGTGGGTACAACATATATAACACACAAGAAAAAAAGACAAAATAAAGAAACAAGTATCAGATGCGCAAATCAGGAAGGCAACATAAGTCAACTAAAAATGTATAAGAATTCAAGCACATACAAGACAAAGATAATGGAAACTGCGTATAGTTACAAGCATTGCTGAGAAATTGCAGTCTTGAATAACAAAGGGTCTGTTATTGATACAACGGAAGAGGGAAGGTGGTTCCAATCGGCGGCTGTTTTCGGTAAGAAGGCTGCTGAAAAGAATTTGGTGCGGCAAAACGGAATGGCAACCTTATGCTGATGATCAATGCGCGATGAGTGGTATGACGGTTGTGAAATGAGGTCTCGCTTCATTGATGGATTGTGAAAAAATATCTTATGAAAAAAATGCAGTCGCGCCAGTTTCCTCCGGACAGTTAAATTGGGTAGGTCAAGGTTAGATTTCATTTCTGATATGCTAGCAGTACGGGAATAATTAGAACAAATGAACCGAACTGAGCGGTTCTGAACAGATTCTAACGCGTTAATTAAATTTTGCTGCACGGGATCCCATATAGCGGACGCGTACTCAAGCTTTGGGCGAATTAGTGATCGGTATAATAGAATTTTGAGGGACAGCGGAGCGCGAGAAAAGTTGCGGCGTAAGTATCCTAGCGTTCGGTTAGCGTTATTACAGATGTAGGTAACATGCAGTGGGCCAAGATAGATTGTTGGTAATGTAAACGCCGAGGTACTTATATGAAGAGACATGCTGGAGGGGAACGGCGTTAATTCTGTAGGTACAGGGGGGAGAAATAGATCGCCGGGTTATTGACATGCATTTAGATTTGTTAGAGTTGAGAGTCATAAGCCATTTATTGCACCAGGTTGAGACAGTGTCAAGGTCTGACTGTAGAAATTGGTTATCATATTCATTGTTTATTTCGCGGTAAATTACACAATCATCTGCAAATAACCTTATAGCGGAGTTAATGCTGTCTGGGAGATCATTAATATATATAAGAAAGAGTAAAGGGCCTACTACGGAACCTTGGGGTACGCCAGATGTTACTTTAGAAAGAGGTGAGTTATAGCCATTAGTTGTTACAAACTGAGTGCGATTAGTCAGAAAGCATTCAATCCATTTAAGAATGTTCGGGTCAATGTTAAGGCACTAATTTTGAGGAGGAGTAATTGGTGAGGTACTTTATCGAAAGCTTTTTGAAAGTCAAGAAAAATGCAATGCACAAGTGAGCCGCGATCTAAAGCCGATCCTATGTCATTAGTAAAATAAAGAAGTTGGGTTTCACATGAGTAACTTTTTCGGAATCCGTGCTGGTAGGGAGTAAAAAAAAATTTGATTCTAGGAATGAGACAAGGTTGGAGTAAATTATATGTTCTAACATTTTACAAGGAACACTGGTTAGGGAAATTGGTCTGTAATTGAGAGGAGACTGTGTGTTACCAGATTTGTGCAGAGGGACCACCTTCCCCACCTTCCAGTCAAGCGGCAAAGTGGAGGTCTGAATAGATTGCGAAAAGATTAAGGACAAGTAAATTGATGAATACAATGCAGTGTTTTTTAGAAACTTTGAGTTGATTTCATCTACGCCACAAGAAGAGGATAACTTAAGCTTGTGAATTAAATTTTGCACTCCAACGGCATCAACGGTAACAGGATACATGGGTAAAAAATCACGACTAGGCATTTGCGGCAACGCAGAAGCAGAACAACTTGAAAAAGAAGTAACAAAAAAATCATTTAATGCAATGCAACACTCTTCACAGCGAACTGGCTGCCCATCTGAGTTCGTAAGCGAAATGTTTATCTTTTCCCTAGGTTTAACAGTTTTCCACAGCAATGTAGTAATTGGCAGGGCGTTCTTCTAAATATCAAATATTATGAACTTGTCTTCCAAGAGACTAAATCTCACTGGTGCCCGTCTGGCTGTGTGGTTCGGAATATATAGAAAATTACCTACGTGAACTGACCAGCTGTAGTAAGGGCTATTCATTCAATCAATCATTCATTCATTCATTCATTCAATCATTCATTCTTCATTCATTCATTCATTGAATTGCAGACAAAAAGGTTTACCTAGGTTGAAGGTACTAAAGCAGATTACCTCTGTCTGACTAAGGTCCCTCCATCCATAAACTTGCTCAGATGCAGTGAAAGAAAAGATACATGTTTTCCTTTCTTTTTCAAAGCGGGCGACGGAGAAATAAAATTTATAGGCTATAACAGATGTTAAACCGCACACTCTGAAATGATACGTCACAGTCAACAACCTTTCGCGATTAATATCGTATTCATTTTACATAAACTTAATGGGAGTATCATGGTCCTAAGTACTTTGGGTAGTGTTATTTCCATAACGTGAACTTATGGTGGCTTCCTAAATACGCCGCGCATAGAAGCCGCCTGAGTGGTCACAATAAAGTACACCTAAAATGTACACAAAGCATATAGCGTCACTGCCCAGCTTTGGTGGTCATAACAGAATAACAATGCATTGATACTATCTACACCTCGGAGCTTGGTGACATCTTTTCAGCTGTTCATAACGTGTACAACGTTATGTCAGCTGTCGTACGGTTAAAACACCTGTTCCTCATACATTTGTAAAATATTCTGGCTTTCTAGGCTTCAAGAGCCTTTGTGAACTTGCATATATCATCATCATCATCATCATCATCATCATCATCATCATCTTCAGCCTGACTACGTCCACTGCAGGACAAATGCCTCTCACATGTTCCGCCAGTGAGCTCGGTCCTGTGCTCGCTGCTGCCGATATATACCTGCAAACACCTTAATCTCATCTGCCCACCTAACCTTCTGTCTCCCCCTAACTTGCTTGCCTTCTCTGGAAATCCAGTTAGTTACTCCTAATGACCAGCGGTTATACTGTCTACGCGCTACATGCCAGGCCCATGTTCATTACCACTTGATTTCAACTATGATATCCTTAACCCCGGTTTGTTCCCTAATCCACTCTGCCCTCTACTTGTCTCTTAAGTTTACACCTACCATTTTTCTTTCAATTGCTCGCTGCGTCGTCCTCAATTTAAGATGAACCCTCTTCGTAAGTATCCAGGTACCGGCAAGATGCAGCTCTTAGATACCTTCCTCTTGAGGGATAGTGGCAATCTACCTGACATGATTTGAGAGTGCTTGCCAAATGTGCTGCACCCCTTCTTATTCTTCTTGCTCAATCTCGTGGCTCTGCTCTGTGGTTATTACCTGTCCTAAGTAGAGATAGTCTCTTACAACTCCAGGTGCACTATTACCTACCTCGAAGTGCTGCTCTCTTCCGAGGTTCTCGAGCATTACTTTCGTTTTCTGCAGGTTAATTTTAAAACCTACCTTTTTGCTCTCCTTGTCTAACTTCGTAACCATGAGTTCCAATTCATCCCCTGAGTTACTCAGCAATGCAATGTCATCAGCAAAGCGCAGGTTACTAAGGTACTCTCTATTAACTCTTAATACTAGCTGTTTCCAAGCTAGGCCTCTGAAAACCTCCAGTAAGTACACGGTAAATAGCATTGGGGAGGTTGTATCCCCTTTTCTTACACCCTTCTTGATTGGTATTTTGTTGCTTTCTTCGTGAAACACTATGGCAGCAGTTGATCACCTGTAGATTTTTTCCAAGATGTTTATATATGCTTCCTTGACGCCCTGATTCCACAGTGTCTGCATGATTGCTGATATTTCTACTGAATCAGACGACTTCTCGTAATCTATGAAGGCTATGTGTAGTGGTTGGCTATATTCTGAGCATTTCTCTATTACCTGATTGATAGTTTGACTGCGGCGTATTGTTGAGTAGCCTGTTCGAAATCCTGCTTGTTCTTTTTGTAGATTGAATTCTAATGTTGTTCTAATTCTGTTAGCAATGACCTTTGTAAATAGCTTGTATTCTATGGAGAGCAAGCTGATCTGCCTTTAATTCTTCAATTCCTTGTCACCTCCTTTCCTATGTATTAGGATGATGTTAGCATTCTTCCAAGATCCTGGTACTCTTCTCATCAGGAGACAGCTTGTAAACAGGGTGGCTAGTTTTTCTAACACAATCTTTCCTCCATATTACAGTAGATTGGATGTTACCTGATTCTCACAAGCAATTTTGCCTCTTTGCATGCTCTCCAAGGTTTTAATGGATTTTGTCTTTACTGGTGGTGGGGCATGAGGGTTACTACTAGTCCTTATAGTAAGGTCGTGGTTGTCCCGGCTGCTATACAGATCTCTCTAAGACTACTCCGCTATTTTAACTAGCCTATCTATATTGGTAGTTATTTTATCTTCCTTGTCTCTTAGTGCATACATACAATTTTCGCCTATCTCAAGTTTCCTATTAACTGCTTTGACGCTTCCTTCATTCTTCAGAGCATATATATACATGTATATACACATATATAAACACCCGAACAAAATTTTCGCAGTTTGCTTTAAAAAACCCCGCATGCATTTCGACCTGAACGAAAGTACATTGTAGTACACTATAGTGAAAGGTTAAGACAAACGTTTGATGTGGACAGTTGTGATTATGTCGCGATGTAACAATGCAGCATCATATTTTTCTGAGTTTTATTTCTTAACTTTTTGCAGCAATCGGAGCGGGCATGGTGTTCGTCGTCTCTCCTACAATCATCAGTGAGCACTTCGTCAAGCACAAAGGCCTCGCCACAGGAGTGTATTTTTTGGGCGCCACCATGGCGGCCTTTGTTTTTCCGAAGTTTCTGGAGTACCTGTATGATAGGTACGGCCTGCACGGCACTCTTTTGATCTTTGGAGCAGTGCTCATGAATGGGCTTGCGTTCAGCCTGTTCCCTCGCACTCCCGAATGGAGGAAGGCCGCTCCCCTGGAAGAGAAAAGGGGCAACACCGAGTTATCGTCGTCGGAGGAGAAGGGCAGATTGTGGCGTCATGGACTGAGCATCTTCAAGTCACCCATCCTCTACCTCTTCATGTACAGTTTCATCGTGCAGAGCTTTGGTTACGAGTGCTACATCGCGCTTTTCATTGACTTTGCCGTGGATCGAGGAGCTACCCTTTCCACTGCAGTGACAGTGTATGCCGTGGGAGCGATCGCTGAAGCCTTCGCCAGGCTCTCGCTTCCAGCAGCAGTTGACCGTGGACTACTCTCGAACAAGGCACTACTGGTGATTGTATTCGCAGGCCAAGGTTTAATACTGCTTGCACTGCCGTTCTTGCACAGTCACGGACTCATCTTCGCCGCTTCTGTGGGTACAGCCTGTACGATTGGTGCTGGAATGATCGTGATTCCCGTTACTGTATCCGGCTATTTTGGTGTGGAACGAATGTCGATGTCGTACGGCATCATCGTTGCTTCGGCTGGGTTGTTCTCATTCGGAAAACCTACAGTCATAGGTAAGTCGTAGGCGACGGCAAAACACTGCAACTCTGCGCCTAATAGACGGCAATGTAGGGCACAGACTACTTTTTTTTTCTTCAATGTTTGTCAGATGGAGTTTTGCTGGCTTACTGGTGGCAAAATACGCAATAATCGGCCATAGTAATACTAACTGGCGATTCATACTACGTCTTTGCGAACTTAACAACGAAGGGCTTCATTCACAGTGATGTTGGACTCGAACACTCAAACATAGACGTACGCACGAGGGGACGGTCTCAGCATCTCCCCCATAGTCACCAAAAGAGGGACGCGCCTGCGGCGGCTGCATTTTCGATGGAGACAAAAATGCTTGGGTCCCATGTGCTTACATTTAGGTGCACTTGAGCCCAATGTGTTTACACTTTAGGTGTATTTAAGTGCGGTAAGGAAAGAGTTGAAAAGCCCCAGGTCGTCTCAATTTACGGAGCCCTCCACGACGGCATCTCTCGTAATTATATGGTAGGTCTTAAAACGTCCGACCCCAACATTTATTATTAGCTAAACTTTATTAAAACATACCACTAATGTGGAGCTTCCCGTCTGCTTAGTTACAAACTGTACTTACGTGTAACGAACTGCAGAGTTTCTTATGTTCTATCAACTTGCTAAAGATCTTACACTTTCTTATCCGTAATCGCAAATAAATAAGTCAAACCCTTTCTGACTTGTGCTGCCGAGGTCATTTACGAGATTCTGTTAAGTCTTACATCACCATAACTGGTTCGTGTGTTAACGACGGGTGAAGCAAGTACTATGGTCGTCTTTAAAAGCTGCTATGCATGGCATTCACCAACTTCCACACGTCATACAGTGCTGCTGCGCACGGCTACCGCATAATGCAACAATTCTCTGCCATGGTGTAGCAGTGGGTATGGTATGGCGCTCTTCTGCTGACCGGAATGTCATGGTCTCGACCCCGGCAGTAGCGATCACATTTAATGGAGGTGAAATAGTAAAACACGTGTACTGTGTGACATCTATGGACAACAAAGATCACCGTGGCCCAAGTTTTCGGAGCCCTACACCACAGGGTCTCGAATAATTATATCGCAGTTTTGGGGCCTATAAAACCGCAGATATTATTATAATCAACCATACAAACAATCAATCAATCAATAATTTGCCTAACGTGCCGAGGAACGACAATAGGATTCTTGTGCAGGTGCACGCAAAATTAAAACAATAAAAACAAACACCATATTACAGTCTACAGAAAAAACATAAACAGAGCGTGAACGCACAGACAAAAAGGAATCAGTGCAAAGTGGGATAATGATACGCCGCGTTTAACGTCCCAACACCACCATAAGATTATGAGAGACGCAGCAAAATGGCACAAGACGGTAATCATAGAACGGCAGTGACAAATAAAGTGGAATACACACAACTGAAAAACGCTCCCTCAAAAACGGAAAAGAGAAGAATCGATGCACTGTATTAAGACAGTGCAGAGCTGAGACAAAAACATTGAAAGTGAACTGTGAAAAACATCAAGATCCTGGAAGATAACATTATATAGACTTTGTATTCTGTGAGGAATAGTGTTTAAAGAAGTTGGCAGGTACATGAAGTGGTCGATTCTCTCAGGTCAACTAACGCGGAATCCAAAAATTTACGTAACTGGGAAGTAAAGGGCAAGTAAGCATACTGTGAACTAGTTTGTAAAAAAATAAAAGGTAAGTGTAATTTCATCAGAACTGAAATGATGGCAATGATAATGATCTGGCACTGTTAGAACAAGATCCACAAAAGTCATTTCTAGCAAAATGATGGTTCAAAACGCTACGAAGTTACCTGGGGCGGCTCAATGACGATTTAGCCGGATTTAGGCATATTTAGCAATACCATGCCAGATCACAGATGCATACTCAAGTTGAGAAAGACATATCGTGGTGTACAATTTCTGGAAGGCTGCAGGAGAAATGAATTCTCAAGTGATTTTGCAAACACAGCCCAGAGAACGAAGGCCTGGCGTGGTAGCAAGTTTCTGTAAGCAGAAGAATTCAACATGCTATCAAAAGGACACCAAGATCACTGAACTCATAAACCTTACATAACGACACTGTATTGACAGAGTGAGGAAATGACACGATAGATGTTTCACGAGATATACTGGTGAACTTGGTTTTTGATGTATTCAGAAAAAAGTTATCGCTATCACACCACGCGAAAAACCATTTCTTTTGTGCTCGTCTCTGTGCGCTACTTCATAAGTAAACATAATTTATTACCACCAACTCGCCCAGCCTTCAATGTTATTATTATTATTATTATTAATATTATTATTATTATTATTATTATTATTATTATTAGTATTATTATTATTATTATTATTATTATTATTATTATTATTATTATTATTATTATTATTATTATTATTATTATTATTATTATTATTATTATTATTATTATTATTATTATTAAACAAGTGTTGCAAAGTCTAGTGGCAGACTCGCGAGGTATACTGTCGAGGCAGGGCAAACGCAGTATTTTAGAAATGCACAATCATACTCAAAAGTTTCCACACCACGCTTTGATAGAAATGCGGAGGATAGTGGCCTAGGAACTTCTGACCCACTCCCTCTTGTACGTCATATATTCGGTCAGTCGCGTTGATAGGCAAAGAACTGTGATATTAGCAAGGTTATGGGGTATTAGAAACTTTTCAGTTGGTCAGATATGAACTCCATTAGCGACTTGACGACTCATGCGCGCCCACTCCGCCTTCTTGGGTTCTTTTCAATAAACTTGAGTTGTACCCCCGAATGCAGAGATGTTACTTGACTCGTACTTGACTCGTTCTTGACTCAAGACAGTCTTGCCAGTCACCATAAATCGTTCTCGAACTTGCGGACGACTTAAAGGCGACTTGGCTTGGTCGAAGTCAGGACAAGTTTCAAGTCAGCTGCGGGGCTAGCTTGAAAGTGACTTCATGCGTTATTTCAACATGGCCACCTCTCAAATGGATGTCGCGTGGAGGGTGGCCGCTTTTGAGTTTGCTTGCCTCGCCATAAGCGTAGAATTTCCTGGGGCGCACTGCCTGCCGAAAATTTTTGGACCCGCTTTACGTGACCGAGAAAATTCGATGGAGGTTTTACGACGAGGAACAATTCCACGCTCGATACAGATTCACGAAGAACGCCGTTCGGCATGCTGGGTATGTTGCCGCTCCGTGAAAGTGAGGCCAACCGAGAACAGCCTGTGCCTCCAGTGTTACAGCTACTGATGGCTCTCGGGTTTTACGGCGCTGGCACATTCCAAACCAGTCACTGGGAATCTCGTCCGCATTCCGTAGTCGACAGTTTGCTGTGCAGTAGGAAAAGTTACGCTACTCATCGCAAAGCACCTGTGCGCAATGCTGGTGCGCTTTCCGCAGCTGGCAGCACTTTCTATACTTATGCGGGACTTTTATGAAGTGGCTGAGTTCCCTGGTGTTACAGGCTGTGTAGACTACACGCACGTGCGCATTAATAGCTTCGGTGGGGACGACGCCGAAGTGTTCCGTTACCGCAACGGCCATTTCTGTTTTTCTCAAACACGACGACAATTTCCGCCTCCTTCAATACAAAGTTGACTCGGCGCTGCGTCTGTGTGCCTCGTCTATCTTTTCGTCCCGTCTAGGGCGCTGTTTCTCGCTCAGAAAGGCATCGCTTGTAGCACAACGCTACGTAAAATTCCACACACTTAAAAAAGAGGTGCCCCTGTCACGGGTTTTTTTTTATCCGCTTCACCATCATGCAGCGATACACTGCTGCACCCCGCGGGACAAAATTCTGCTGAGGGCAATGTCCTGACTCCCGCTTTTTCTCTTGTTTACCAAGCTCAACAAAAGGATACGAATCCCATTTGTTCCCAGAACTTGTTTTTTTTTTTTTCATAATAACTGCGACCTAGCCCGCTACAGGCATGCACACAGGTGAACAGAAAGGCAAATACCGTGAAAATCGCATCAACTCGTGGGCCAGGTCAGCCCAAATACATGCCATGGCGTTCGATTGAAAAAAAAAAAGACGACGAAAGAACCCAACGCGATGCTTGCTTCGCCTCCAAACAAGCAACCGTGCAGAAACGCGCCGCATTTGGGTGGCCACTAAAACCAGTGGCAACGAACGCTCTACAGAAGCAACACTGCGCATCACAGTGGCGGCAGGCACCACGTGCCACTCGTTAGCCGTAAAATGGCAAGAATATGCTTGTAGCCCTTCGTTTTTATAGTTATTTTAAAACATGGTTTTTTCTTATGTAATACATGCCATACGTGAACAACTTCATTATTACCCTCGTTAGCAGGCATGCAGCGTATTTCTGCTTTGAAGCTCGTTCTTGACTTAACCAAGCAAGACAGCCTGATCATCTACGAAATGCGAAGGCTGACTTGGGCGTTTTGAAGTCCGCTTCTTACTTCGCGCCGACTTGCTCAAGTTAAGTTGAAGTCGCGAGCCAAGTAACATCTCTGCATTCGGGGGTAAGTGAGCCTTAAGAGCTCAACCGTGCTACAGTACCAATACTAACACAGTGCTAGGCATGCTAAAGGATATTTTGTGCGCGTATTAAGCACTTCCGCATATATCTGTGCCGCCAGCACTGCACTGCAAATCGAATACAAGCGAGAGGTATTGAAATCGATAACTCGCACCTCCCTAAATTTCTTAGTGTGTTTTTTAGCAGGTGCTCGGTGGCGACAGTCACGGCCAGGCATGCACTGTCAAAGCGGGTGGCGTTTTTTTTCTTTTTTTTTTTTGAGGTGACTCATTAGAATGCACTTGAGAGTGCAACCCATTATTTATACGTCCCAAGGCTTCGCTACACAGCAAACATTTCTGGCAGGCTTTTTATACGGCGGGAGTGCACGCTTGGAAAAATGTAGCACGATGACAAATAAGTGAAAAAAGAGGCGGTAGAATGATGGCGCCATCCTTGCATCTTTGACTGCCGTTGACGTGAGATAGGATTTCATCGCAACCGTGGGAACGCGGGATGCGATGAGGGATGAATATGATTTTTTCGTGCTACTACAACAATCAAAAAGGCATGCGATTGAATGACGATTGATATGTGGACTTTAACGTCCCAAGATCACCATATGATTATGAGAGATGCCGTAGTAGAGGGCTCCGGAAATTTCGACCACCTGGGGTTCTTTAACGTGCACCCATATCTGAGCACATGGGCCTGCAGCATTTCCGCTTCTATCGGAAATGCAGCCGCCACAGCCGGGATTCGATACCGCGACCTGCAAGTCAGCAGCCGAGTACCTTAGCCACTAGACCACCACGGCGGGGCAGCAACTGAATCTCAAGGAGATTCTAGGTATCCCAGATTAACGACCTTCTACACACACCACATGACTACATGTTGCGTCAACCCAGGCCAACGTGGCATCGTCACGATCTTTCTTGGACACCATATAAGATCTCGTCTCGACTAAACCCTCAAATGTTCGTTCTTTCTGCGCGCTATAACCGGTTGGAACAACCTGCAGCCATTTCAAAATATAGGCGCTTTTACCATTGAACATATATCTGCTTATTGCCATATGGCATGACTAATCCTTCATTTCTCATTTTGCCTATTTCAAGTGTTTCGTTGGTATATAAGAATATGTTCATGTGCATGCATTGGGTGCTTACTACCACTATGCCCTTCATATGTCATTTTTATTCATACTGTTGTTGATCTTTGTTCAATTTTTAGCTGAATTAGTTGTGACTTCCTCAGTAGTTTTTCTTTTTCTGATTGATGTTCATCTAAGTATTCAGTTATTGCCCTCCTGGTTGAACTCAGATAGGGTATGCAGTACTGCGTGAATAATTAAAATAAATAAATAAAGAAATGTAAAAATAAACCTGCTCTCTAACATCACTCTTTCAGCCAAACATCACGACCGTCGTGCATTTTCAGCAAGTAAATAAAATGTAAGCTGAAAATACATATGAAAAGTATGACATCTACTTCATCTTTACGAGACATTTTGATGAATTCAGTAAATCTAAAAATATATACTTTGTGCCAATGTATGTGCCATTTATCTAAAAACTTCTACTCTATGTTCACGCACAGGCTACTTCCGGGATAGAGAAGGCGCCTACGATGTCCTCTTTCTCATCTGTGGATTGCTGACAGTGCTGGCTGCTCTTGCGTGGACTCTGTTTTTCTTGCTAGAAGCAAGGCGAAATAGAAACAAAATGACGAAAGAGTGCACACATGCAGAGAACGGGGTGGAAATCACACGCATGTGAACCTCCAATAACGTGAAACAGGCAGCGGCCGATAAGGAACACTGAGCCGTAATGCGAAGCATGCGTCACAGAAACTTCAGGAAGTTGGAAAAATTGGCATGCTTAAGGAGCATCATGAGGGGGCGGTTGTGCGATCTTGCTTGTTCTGCTTGCAAGCTTTGACAGCTTTCCGATTAAATTGTTTCTGCGCAACAATGCTATTTGTCATGCTTATGAGTGCATTTGTCTTTTGGTCGGTAAGCTCGTCCATCCTTTCGCCTGATATGTATCTATCTATTTATCTATCTATCTATCTATCTATCTATCTATCTATCTATCTATCTGTGTAGAAGTATATGAAAATTTTATGATGGTACCCAAAATGCGAAACTCATCGTCGTCATACAGGATATAAAACAGTTTTGCATGTGGTTTTTTTTCTAATTTATTTTATAGCTCTCTATATCTATCCTCTTTCCGATCCTTTTCCCCACCCCCGCACAGGGTAGCAAACCAGTTCGCCTAGGTTAACCTCCCTGTCTCTTCCTTTTAATTATTTCTCTCTCTTTGTTTATGTGCTCCGTGTCCTTTGCAATAACGTATTTGTTGTCAGCCTCGCTATACAGAAGCGCTGTTTAACTCATCCCAAATAACAACTGATTGTCACTTGCCTGCTTTTAATTCTTTTTCTAAATGTTGTCATTGTAGACAGTAATATATTTGTATAAAAAATGCTCCTAAAACGTCTTCGCAGCGCTTGTACCACGCTTCTTTGTGCCGTTTGATTTTTTTTCGTGTAGTGTATTAGCAATCGCTGACTCGCTATGCTACGTCTTATTCATAATGTAGTGAGATCTCAGTGTTGGATCCAAATGTGATCCACGAAGCCCTGACGCCCTAGTCATGTACAAAAAAAATTTTCAAAGTACGAATTTCTTTTGTTTTCTGTGAATAAACATCATCCATGTGTATGTGTATTACCTTGCTGATCTTTATTATTGGTTTTGGTATTATATGTGTTTTCTTTTAGATACCAGTAAAGACAAAAATGTGGTAACTAAATTTTATACGAAGGAGTTCTCAAGTATCCTAAACAGTCAAACATATGTTTCAGCCCAACACGCATTCGTTTGGCACTGGTTGTTACAGTTACTAGGAATGCTTTAGTCAGTGTTACTTTTACGTACAGAACATACAGAATTGCATGTTTTCTTAATGATTCATGCTTCAAAATTCATGACCGTCCTGCGACCATGGTTACTATCTTTACTACCTAGCATTCAAAGACGAGCGAGTGGTTTTTTTCTCGCCTTCGCTACCTTCGTACAGACAACAAGGTATATGTAAACTGATAGCGTAGCTTCCATAGAAGCTCATGGATCCAGTAGTCGGCGGCTCGTTGCCACCGTCACCATATACGTGAAGAAGAGATAAGTAACAACAAAAAATAAAAAATAAAAGTGACATCACAACCAGGAGCGGTAGCTACTCACGCATTTGCCCTACATGGCGCGAAATCAAATTTTTCTTCATTGCTCTCCTGCTACGTGCATTTATTACGCGATTTTAATGCGCCTTAATTGTGTCTGCGAAAGAAAAAAACTAAATAACAAAGAATGAGTAAGCAAAGTTATTTTATTAGTCAAATGACGTACTTGCAATATGCACAAGAAACTTCACCGAGGCAATTGTGAGGCAACTGTTCACGAGCACAATAGCATAATGGCGGGATGAAATCCCGGCTGTGGCGGCGGCATTTCCGATGGAGGCGAAAATGTTGTAGGCCCGTGTACTCAAATTTGGGAGCACGTTAAAGAACCCCAGGTGGTGAAAATTTCCGGAGCCCTCCACTACGGCGTCTCTCATAATCAAATAGTGGTTTTGGGACGTTAAACCCCACAAATCAATCAATCAATAACATAATTGTTCGAAAGCTAACGTTGACCAATCGATGAAAATCACTGCAGCGAGACAGCAGTTTTGAAAAATATAGGTTTGGCAGCTGTAGAGTACAGCCTCTTGTTGGTTAGCCTGTCGCATTCACAGTCACCAAAGGCGAGGGCAACGCCGGCCGTGCGCCAGCGAAAGCAGTCGGCAGTCACAGGAGCGGCTATCTACAGTCTGTGAGCTAGCAGAGCTATGAAATGCACATAAAAATAAGTAAACTTCTGAAGGTACGTACGAAACCATCACGGAAAAGTGAGCAATGCCTCAATGACCTGGCAATGCGCCGAAACAAAAACACACCGAACTAAACACGAGCTCTGATAGCATATCACCTGAATACGCCCCAAAATCCGTTGGCTGATGTTACCAGACTGTCTGCATGTGCCCACTGTTTCTGAAAGCAAACGCAAAAAGAAAAAAAGCAGGTGCTCAACCACATACTGAAGACCAAAGCTTTATTAAAATATTCTACTAATTTTTCGTAACAAATAAATAGAGAACTATTCAAAGTAAACGTCTAAATATTTTATTTCGCTATTTGTCCCCCCCTCACCTAGTCACGATTCAATCCTCACGTGGCTGCTGATGTCTGTCACAATAGGTTTCAAACCACTTTTTGTTCTGATTTTCGCGAACTGTTTAGATTGACCTTGCAGACAATTTATCCCCCTTGCCACTGATTTTTTGAAAGCACATTTTCTATTTTAGTGCTACGCATTCAGCCTATGAAGATTTCGTGCTTTTCAACTACCCACTGTTACTACCACTTGCGTTGTTGGAAACCATAGAGGAAGTGAAATCAGTTGATTGAGCACGTTGGTAGGCAAAGACAAACGGATGAATTCGTCGTTGTCGGCATAAGCAGTACTAGAAACTTTTAAATCCTTTATGACGGTAGATTTTAGTGGCGCAAAGGCAACTCAGGCCAAAGAGCGCCAAACACACGGTTTTTGGTCGATTTGATTATAGAAAGTGTACTCAGGGTTGCAAGAATAAAAGAGTGGAGCATAGGGTTTAAACTTAGGTGTCGTGACTATGTGTGAAGGGTTTAAAACGGGCTATGCTTATGGGTTTTAAAGAGTCATGCAGTGTCGGCAACAGTTCTTGCCAGGGTAAGGAGTGCCTGCTGCTTGGCATTTAATAAAAAAGTTTCAGCGGTTCCCTCAGGATTGATAGGAGGCTGAGATTAGTGAGAATATGTTATGAAATGTAGGAAGCCTACACTCGCTAAGAACTTTAAAACCACTTTTGGGGAAAACAAGGAATCGTCTACAAAAAGAAATTTCAGGTGAGGCGGAATGTGGCATTAGTACAGCTTTCAGAAGTGAGAATCCTTCTGGTTCGAGGTATAGACAGATAATTAGAACTTGAACGACAGACAGCGCATCACCAAATTTTGCACAATGTGGTGCTAGAGAGTTGTTTAAAAGGTGTGAGTGTGTTGCATGTATATGACCAATCCTGTGTCTGCACAGTGCAACCTCTTGGTGCCTATTGCGTTTTTCAGTCACATATCTTCCTATTCTTGGCTTTACTAAGTGCAGTTTGCGTATGCTGCGTTCCATTCCTCTTGCCATTGTCTACGCATTCGGGTTCTGATGAGTAGCCTCAGGTCCTCATACGTGATGGTGTTTACGTCAGTTGATGGGCGTAATGCAGCTAACTTCACAAGTATGTTCGCTATCTCCTGGTCAGCTATGTTGCAGTGTCCTGGAATCCAGCATAGCGTGATTTTGAGCTTAGATTTGTAGGCTGACATGATGCATTTTAAAAGAGTATTAGTAACTAGGTTTTCGAGTATCTTAGTGGAGGACCTCGCAGTCACAGCACTGAAACAATATGGGTATATAATTGAGGTTGGTTCTTTCGCCTTTAAAATATGCCTTACAGCTAAAAGTATGCCATAGCATTCTGCAGAAATGGGCTATTATGTTCGTGCATTGTTCTGGATTCAGAGAATACGGGACCATGTGCCGCACATGCGACTGCAGAGGACTTAGAGGCATCAGTATAATACTCACCACACTTGTATTTGGACTGCAACTGCTTGAAGTGTTGATTGATTGCGACTTGGAGGCCATGCTTTCCTACCTCTAGGAATGACAAGCCACAATTGATATCCAGCATTTCCCACGGCACCATAGAGTCCTTGTGAGAGCTTAGTTGAAGATTGGAGACTAGTTGTGCATGTTTTCAAAGTGCGAGGCCACTTTGAAAGAATAAGGTGACGTAGCTGACGGTCGCCTAAAAAACAGGTGGGCGTTTGATGTATTCTGCAATAGCAGCACGAGCAGGGTGGTCGACATGGGAAAGCACCTTGGTGGTATACGTGACACTTGTGAACTGACGTCGCCGTTCTAGTGACCACCAGTCTGTCTCAACATACAGGCTGACTGTTGGGCTGATTCGGAAAGCACCGCTGGCCAGCCGAAGCTCAAGGTGGTGCACTGGGTCAAGCGTCTTCAATGCAGATCTTGACGCTGACTCGTAAACCACCGAGCCATAATCGATACGTGAAAGCATTACACTACTGAGAAAGCTCAGTAGACAGTCACGGTCTGTACCCCATGACTGATGCTGGAGAATCTTGAGCAGGTTTAAAGCTTTGAAGCATTTAAGTCGTAGCTGTTGGATGAGTGTAACAAAGCTGAGCTTTTCATCAACCACAACATCTAAACACTTGTGATCTTTTTTTAGTATCTATGGCTTGTACATTCATTGAAATGTTGGGGAATGGCCTTATACCACGTAGTTTTGAAAAGGGTAGGCAAGCAGTCTTGTCACATTTAAACTTAAAACCATTTTCGTCTGCCCAGCTTGCGAGCCTATTTACTGCTAACTGAATCTGACGTTCGCAGATGGCTAGGTTGCTCGATTTGGATGTCATCCACATATGCAGAGTAAGAGATTGTTTTAGGCAGTATAGTGCTTATGCAGTTCATTTTCACAATGAATAGTGTGCAGCTAAAGACACCACCCTGGGAGATGCCATTTTCTCGCGTAAACCACTTTGATAAGGCGTTTTCAACACGAACCACAAATGTACGGTCAGAAAGGTAGTTTTCAATGATATTCAACATATCTCCTGACACTTCCAAAGATTTCAGGTCACGGAGAATGCCATAATGCCATGTCGTGTCGTAAGTCTTCTCCAAGTCAAAAAATACAGGTAGGCAGCGTTGTTTATGAATGAAGGCATCCCTGACATAGGATTCAAACGGTACCAGTTGGTCAGTTGTCGACCGGCCAGATCTTAATCAAGCTTGACG